CCCCCCCCCCCCCCACCCCAAACAAATTCCACATTTTTCACCAATTGGACACTTCATCTTAATTAGTTATTTCTTTCACATATTATATTTATTGTATAAATATATAACACAGAGTACCCCCTCAGTCACTACGGATGTCTCCCAGTGAGTACATAGCGACGTCTCTCTTTTTCTATATCTTTACTTAAATGAGATCAAGTTTGAATTGCTCAGAAGTGTAGATAGGTATGTGATACAGTATATGCGTAACAAGTTCCAAGGTCGCTGAAAATTCAGTGGCGAACACATGCATTTTGAGTTAGGGGACACAATTAAACATGTAAAAATAAAGGTGAAGATCAAAACTAGCATGTTTACATCCGCTACATTACTTCCTCAAATTTCAGTCTTCCATATCTCTTCCTCTCTCACTTATGCTTCAAAGCATTGTGCTTATATATCTTTCTTATTGCATATTGAAATCGCAATGAGATCACATGTAAGTGTGTGAGAGACTTTAAATAAAATCAACAACGTATATGGTGATATAAAGGCTATTTATTTTTGGTCCTATTAAAAATCATAGCAAATGTTACGGAGTGTCAAAATAGCCCCATTTGAAGAGTAAAGACTCGTCTTTTCAAGATGCACGTTTGATGTATATTTAATTATTTTCGATGTCTCAACTATTCGATATGTCTTGATGTAGTTCTCGAAACGAGTTTCGAGATGACGCGAGTGATTTATGGATTCGGTTAGCGTATGATCGTTAAAAGAATTTTTAAAGTTAACATGTAATCGAAAAACCATTTTGAAATGGGACTACTTTGACGCACCTAACATTTGCTAGTGGTCGTGAGCACTTTAAAATGATAAATTCAATATTTTGATTTCGTGGCATCCCATAATGACTTCTAAATTGAGAAAAAACATAAAAAATTTAATTATGGTCAAATAGGGCTTAATTTATACACATTTTTATGGTGTGTCAAAGTAGAAAAATAGGAATTGATTTCCGTCCAAAGAGTTTGGGAATCTGAATGACATTTGGATGTAATTTTAAAAATTCTAAACTCTAATCTAAAAATCAATGATCAAGCCTTCCGATTATCCATTAGCACAAATGAATGATTATTCAGATGTTTACTATATTGATTTTTGATTTTTTGAAGGAAAAAAAAAAAAATGAAAGTTGGTGGGTCACGTCCAGGACCCACTGGGGTCCGCCAATGGCTGAAATCAATTTCATTAGGAAATGGAAATAGAATCCAACCACGATCTCTCAAATTCTCATTTACAAGAGAGCTAAAAATGATAAATCTTATTAAAATTACAGTACAATTATCTGCCAATGAAATTGTTGGGAAAATCATCGATCTTCCATACAAGAGATTGGAGAAGAAATCAAATAAGGCAATCACTTCCACATGAATGGGTTGGAGAAAAATCAGAAAACAAGTGATGAAAAACTTCAAAGAATCGAAAACAAGTGATCAACAATTTCAAAGAAGAATCAATAAGGCTCGAATGCAATATTGCTGTCTTCAAATGATATTTGCCCACTCTGGATGAATTTGGTGCTTAAAGGGTTTCCCGACAAATGGTTTATAGGATTTATCAAGCATTGTAATAGAAAAACACTTAACCACTTGTGTTTTCTAACAAAAGTTAAGAACACAAAAGGGGTTTTGAATATGAAAGAAGAATCTAAATTCTATGATTTGAAATGAGGATTTTATCTCAATGTTGATTTCAATAATTTTCCAATTATTTCTTGTGTTGATTATAAAACATCTATATATGTCTCAACAAACACACACGAAATGACGCCAAAAATTTGTGAAAAGTTTGCAACTTTTCATCAAAAACAATCAAAATATTCAAATAGAAATTCTGTCCACAACTATTTTTTATTTCTATGCGAACACATAGAACAATTCCTTGCGATCACATAGAAGAAACAAATGTTGGGACTATAATCCCTGCACGGGTGTATGCGACCGCATACCCTTTTATCTATGCGGTTGCATAGATCAAAGTTCTGGCTACCAATTTCATTTTTCATTCCAATTTCGAATTTATTAATTTTGAACAACAATTACAACATAAACTAGATATAAATATCAAACAAATATGGAAACACGGTTATTCTTCTTTGTGCTACAACTGCTAAACTCGAGCCGAATCTATATCTTTACTTAAATGAGATCAAGTTTGAATTGCTCAGAAGTGTAGATAGGTATGTGATACAGTATATGCGTGACAAGTTCCAAGGTCGCTGAAAGTTCAGTGGCGAACACATGCATTTTGAGTTAGGGGACACAATTAAACATGTAAAAATAGATGTGAAGATCAAAACTAGCATGTTTACATCCGCTACATTACTTCCTCAAATTTCAATCTTCCATATCTCTTCCTCTCTCACTTACGCTTCATAGCATTGTGCTTATATATCTTTCTTATTGCATATTAAAATCGCAATGAAATCACATGTAAGTGTGTGAGAGACTTTAAATAAAATCAACATCTTATATGGTGATATAAAGGCTATTTATTTTTTGCCTATTAAAAATCATAGCAAATGTTACGGAGTGTCAAAATAGCCCCATTTGAAGAGTAAAGACTCATCTTTTCAAGATGCACGTTTGATGTATATTTAATTACTTTCGATGTCTCAACTATTCGATATGTCTTGATGTAGTTCTCGAAACGAGTTTCGAGATGACGCGGGTGATTTATGGATTCAATTAGCGTACGATCGTTAAAAGAATTTTTAAAGTTAACATGTAACCGTTAAAAGAATTTTTAAAGAATTTTTGGTGATTTATGGATTCGATGCACCTAACGTTTGCTAGTGGTCGTGAGCACTTTAAAATGATAAATTCAATATTTTGATTTCGTGGCATCCCATAATGACCTCTAAATTGAGACAAAAACATAAAAAAAATTAATTATGGTCAAATACGGCTTAATTTATACACATTTTTATGGTGTGTCAAAGCAGAAAAATAGGAATTGATTTCCGTCCAAAGAGTTTGGGAATCTGAATGTCATTTGGATGTAATTTAAAAATTCTAAACTCTAATCTAAAAATCAATGATCAAGCCTTCCGATTATCCATTAGCACAAATGAATGATTATTCAGATGCTTACTATACTGATTTTTGATTTTTTGAAAAAAAAAGTAAAAAAATTGAAAGTTGGTGGGTCACGTCCAGGACCCACTGGGGTCCACCAATGGCTGAAATCAATTTCATTAGGAAATGGAAATAGAATCCAACCATGATCTCTCAAATTCTCATTTATAAGAGAGCTAAAAATGATAAATCTTATTAAAATTACAGTACAATTATCTGCCAACGAAATTGTTGGGAAAATCATCGATCTTCCATACAAGATGTTGGAGAAGAAATCAAATAAGGCAATCACTTCCACATGAATAGGTTGGAGAAAAATTAGAAAACAAGTGATGAAGAACTTTAAAGAACCGGAAACAAGTGATCAACAATTTCAAAGAAGAATCAATAAGGCTCGAATGCAATATTGCTATCCTCAAACGATATTTGCCCAATGAATTTGGTGCTTAAAGGGTTTCCCGACAAATGATTTATAGGATTTATCAAACATTGTAATAGAAAAACACTTAACCACTTGTGTTTTCTAACAAAAGTTAAGAACACAAAGGTGGTTTTGAATATGAAAGAAGAATCTAAATTCTATGATTTGGAATGAGGATTTTATCTCAATGTTGATTTCAATAATGTTCCAATTATTTCTTGTGTTGATTATAAAACATCTATATATGTCTCAACAAACACACACGAAATGACGCCAAAAATTTGTGAAAAGTTTGCAACTTTTCATCAAAAATAATCAAAATATTCAAATAGAAATTCTGACCACGACTCTTTTTTCTTTCTATGCGAACACATTGAACAATTCCTTGCGATCACGTAGAAGAAACAAATGTTTGGGACTAGAATCCCTGCACGGGTGTATGCAACCGCATACCCTTTGATCTATGCGGTTGCATAGATCAAACTTCTGGCTACCAATTTCATTTTTCATTCCAATTTCGAATTTATTAATTTTGAACAACAATTACAACATAAACTAGATATAAATATCAAACAAATATGGAAACACGGTTATTCTTCTGTGCCGATGTTGACGATTTGAGCTCGGCTTTTCATGGCATCCCATTATACTCAAAGACTATCTTTAGTGACCATTGGCTATTGTGCCATTCTCGTAACCTTTCTTGGCATAGAATCTTCGATACATGGAGTCGACTTCTGTCAGATAGTATGTGCCGGGAGCAAGAAGGCTGCAGTCCTTGCTCGTGACGAAGTCCTTTGCTCCGTACCTATGCTCCATCAACTTCATTGTTTCGACAAATTTTTCTGGAGGGAACTGCAGAAAAGATTGTTTATCATGGGTCTGTCTACCACAAATAGAAAGCATGTTTGGATTACTTTTTTGAAAAAGTCACTCTTACCCACTGTCAAAATAAGTTACATATTTTCAACTTTCACCAATAAAAAACGACTTGTTTTAAAACTTATGAGTAAATTACTTAATTAACTTTTTAAGCTTAGCCAAACGTGCTCCTTGAATCAAGTTACAAGTACTTTAATTCACAGTCGTGACAGTAGAATCCAACCATCGGGTGAAGTTAATTGAATAAAGAATTGCATACCTCATTCCTTGACTTCAATTTCTCTGAAACGTTCATGACAGTTTTAATGTTTGACAGGCTAAACGGATGTTGAGCCTCGTTGAGACGGAGTGAAAACATTGTCGCAGACAAACCACTGCCATAGGAGAACAATATCACCCTCTGTCCAGCCTGAAGAAAGCAATTGTATTAAAAACTAGTAACATTTGCTATTTACCGAAAGTGATTAAACCGAACATTCAAACGAGTAAAGTTCTGAGCTTTACCAGTGTGCTACTTTTATTGTGGAGGAGGGATGCAAATGCAGCATACATTGATGCAGTGTACATGTTCCCAACTTGCTTTGGTATTAGAGTTGATGGCTGCACCTTTGTATCGTAAAATACCTTCGCGACTTGCTGGGATGCCTGGAGATCCATTAAAGTCAGCTCAAAGATGTTCTTACAGTGGCATAGATAATTTTAAAAAATAAATGTTTAACTCGAGTTACTAACCACCCAAGTGAATATCAAAATAGGATGATAATGAAAGAAAAGCACTTTAAGAGATTAATACCTTCTCAAGATCACGACTTTGGTAGCTTTCATCGATAGTTAAAGATGAGAAAGGGGCCAGCTTTTCTTTAGCAGCCTCATCAATGGAACTAAGAAAACGTAAAAGAAGAAATGATTACTCACCGGAAGCATAATAAGTGCATGTTTGTATGCAAGGACACAATTTGACAATATAAAGAACAAGATTTTAGCTTGTTTTACTTCTTTAATATTGTCGAGTGCTATCCAATCCTTTATGTCAAATAAACCATGAAAATACTAGGGCTTCTCTAAGATAAAGAGAGTATCTACCTGGCGTTTCTCGAAAAATCATTGAACAATAGACGAGCAAAGCTCTTTTGTACAAGCTGCATCCAAAGTAAGATGTTAGCATAAATTTATTTCAATAGATCAATTATTTTAAACACAAACAAGTACGAAAATGACTTCATCTGACATCAATAATGCACCCCTGTTCCCACTAATTACCTTGTTATAAGGAGAATGAAATACAAAGTAGTCAGCATCAGCAACTGAAAACTGCTCGCCCTCCAATTTTTCATACCTATTACATACAACTTGTTTAGAAACCTGGAAACGGGAACCCGAAGGAATAAATTTAGAGAGACAAATCAGTGTTTCAGCAGGAGTTTACTTGGAACAGAAGCTATTGTAACAAGAATCGAGAGCCATGAGATAACAAGTCTGAGAAAGCTTGCCATCAACAACCTACAAGAACAGTTCCGATCATATGAGACCCAAAAAGAATTGGAATACAAAGAAGTAAATTTGAAGTAGTAGTACAAAAAATCTGAAAGACTAATCACAAGTTATTCACTTGTGAAACATGAAAATAGATGAAAGCAGAAGGGGTTAAACGGAGGATTACTGGATATTCACTGGCAAGATTCGGCTTGTAAAAATCATAGACATGAGCCATATGACTTGCTCTGAGCTTGCTTTCAAATACAATAGGAGCATTAGGCCCTATTAACATGGCAATAGCAGCAGCTCCTCCAGTTGGCCTAGCTGGTCCATCTGCGTAGACCTATTAAAAGAATCTTGCTGGTAAGGGAATCGAATACAAACACAATGACGCATAGGCCATGTTCGCTATGCAACACTAGATAGGACTATGCAGTATAATGGAAAATATTTTTGCTTATTTTTTTCAGTTAATATAGCCCAATATTGTCCAAACCATTGCAAACATGGGAATAGTCAATTTAAATTTACTAGTATATTCTACAGGCAAGGAAATATCTTTTGTCCAGCAGAGAAGAAGAGGACTACAAATGAAACCTAAATCAAGAATTTAAAACAATAAATTTTAACTAAAAAAACACGATGTAAACAGGATGCCAGCTTTTCGGAAGAGAGAAAAGACTGTTCGACTCTAGTTTGCCAAGTAGTTGATCAAGGAATAATAAAAAAGTATGATGGTCATACCGCACTATCTGTGCAGACTACAAGTCCATAGCGTCCATCCCATGAATTACTTTCTACCCAGTTGACGCAGTTGAATAATGCTGCAGTTCCCCCGTAGCATGCGTTTGTTGAGTCAACACCTTCTATGTCAGTATTTCCATGTTTCTGGTTGTTTAACATTGAGAAAGAATAGGATAAATATGCAAATCAAATATAAAAAATCAGCCAAGAAAGATGGCAACATCAGAAAAATCCTGCAGATATCTGTGCTCACACATATGGAGTTCTATAACAGATCTCACCATGAGCATGCTTGGCTAAGCTTAAAAATTATACTCATATAAGTAAGTTAGTTAGTTTTGGAAAAATAATTTTTATTGCTCAAATTTAGAAATAAGAAAGTTAAGCTCAGAATACATTTAAAATAAGTAACTTTTTCCTACTTAAATTTTAAACATGTTTAAACATGTTTGGAAACTATAATAGACCTAATTTGACTATCCTAATAATAGCTAATTTGAATATAATAAATATGATAAAGCCTAACAATATATATGCCATCTAACGATAACCATCATAAATATTTTCCAAACTTGATTTCTTTCGCAATATATTTCAACATCGTTCCAGTCATTACATTCTATTCCCCTTGAAACAATATCGTCCTCAAGGCACTAAATCTTTAGAAAAATATACTACAATTGACAAATGATTTCATTAAAAAGAAACTTTTTACCTTTTATTAAGCGTAGTCAAACAAGTTCTCATACTCATCAGGGAACTCTTTTGTCATTCTGACTGACACAAAGCACACAACGCATGATTTTATACTTGAAAAGTGTTGTAAGAGCACTCTGCTTAAGTTAGCTTTATCTATTTCCCATAAATTAAGCCTTTGCTATAACATGATTAGTGTGAAACAAGCTTCTAAAAGCAAACACTACTCATATTCGATTATCCATGCTACAAAGGACATGTTTCCATGACTCATGGTCAACCACAAAACAGCGAACAAACTATGTACCAGTTTCGGAAAAGCTAGACTAAATACCTCAAAGATTGGCATCAAGAATGTCTTGATGGATTTGCTCTTGTCTAGCACAGTCTCACTTCCAACTTCCAGACGACCAATTTGTTTTGGGTCTACCCCGTACTTCTCAAGAAGTGAAGTGACAGCTGTCATACTGAAGATCAAAGAGTTAACCAATGCTAGGATACATATTAAAAAAACATTGGTCTAAGGATCAAAAACATATGAATCAAAACTTCTTTTTGAAATTTCTTTTATAACAACTAGGACTGCAACCGTAAAAAATTAAAACAGCAGAATTTTGCATTCAAGGAGCTCATGAAGCTTGTCAATCCATCTCTGAAAACAGAACTCCATATCATGTGAAACACTTTAATATTTCTTTACGCCTCTCTGTTTCAAAATCTTGTTTTGAAAGGATATTTCAATATAGGAAAACTTGCAAAAACTGAAAAGCAGTCCATATATGCACTGGTATGTAAAATGAAGATGATGTATAAAGTACAACAGATCATCAATCTGATATAAGACTGGTAGAAAATTCCAGGAAAAAATTAAATCACCTTCTGTGATCCTTATTTTTCTGAACTGTAAACAGGCCTCACTTCATTTTTAAGTTGCCTCCTTTTAGAACAAGAAGATTCAAATTGAATTTAACAGTCAACTTACACAATAAATTTCAGGCAGTAAAACTTAAAAATCCAACAATTATGTGATTTAAATGGTTAAATTCAAGTTATGGGATAAAGCCAAAAGATTCCTAGATTCACTTCAGATACAGCGAGATATGATACATAACAGACTTCACACCAAATGACGGGAGATTTCCGACAGTTCAAATTTGTTATCTCATACTTCTAATAAGTTGTTTAATAACTGTCAAATGAAATTAATGAAAGCAAAAATCAATCTACTATTTTTAAAACTAGATGCCAAATTGAGAGCAAAATTATAATAATCTCATTAGAATGATTACCTCATTGAAATGACATCTTCTACTTCATCACAAAATGCCATGCAATCTTGTCCAAGCCCAATTGTGTATTTCCCTTTGCTTGCTCCATCATGAGCCTCCAACACTTCCTGTAGCACAGATTATTATTATTATTTTTTAAATAAAAATAAAATCATCATACCTATTTAAAGCACATATGCAATAGTAATAACTGTATTAACAGGAATCTTAAGCATTACATATTCTTAATCAAAACCATTTAAAGAAATGTTTTCAAATAAAACAGCCACCCATATCACCAATAAATCATTAAAGGGCAGCAAGATCTTTTCCCCCCTTCTAAAAATAAATCAATAAATTGATTAAAAAAAAAAAAGCTAAATGAAGCTAAAATATGAAACCTTGAAACTAAAAATGCACAAGATCCTGAAAATTATGTACACAGATTGAACAATTTTCCATAAATCGAAATATTAAATCCAAAATTTGCCCAAGACCCAGGAAAAAAAAATGAATCGAGAATAGAAACTATATCTGGGTTGTGCATGCAAACACTTATATCAGTGTTTTAAATGTGAAAAACAAAAATTTACCTGCTGGATGCAAGTTGGAGGGAAGTAAATTTCCATGGCAAGAATTCCAACATTTTTTGGCAGTGAACCCATTTCTCCTTTCTTAACCTTAGCAAAAAAAGAAAAGGGATTCCTAGGAACAAATGGGCAGATCGACAAATAAAAAGGTTGTACAAAGGAAATGAAATAATCAGTGTTTTTTGGGTTTGCGTGATTAAAACTAGTGAATAGAGTTAGAGCGAGAAAAGAGGGGAGTGGAATCCAGGAAATTCGCAGAGAGGGATAAAGAGCATGCCAAAGAATGATGAATGGTTGTCACATGTTATTGTGTTCCATGTGTAATTTATAGGAAGCAATGCAAGATTTGAGATTCCATTCCAGCGTCCAGAGGAGATGGCCAAGAAAATTAAGCCACTCCCCCCACCCACCCCGAAAGAAAAAATCCTTTTACCATCAAACAAGAATTTTAAGCCGCCGTTTGATAAAAAATTGTTGAGGGGTGAATTTGAAAAGTATTTTTTTAACGCGTGACTAAAAAGTAGAGATAAGTTATAAAAACATGTAAAATGAATTATTATTTTTAGAATATATGGTTGAAAATGAGCATGCGAAAATGGCTAATTGTATTGGATTTAATTTTTCAATTTTGGCATGTTTCAGTGTGCTATGGTAGATAGTCTATTAGGTACATTTCGCAATCACTTATTGGGTGTGTACCACATGGAAACAATTAATGAATGCTAACTAGTGAAAGCTGAAGAAAATGGATCATTCGGTAAAGAAAAAAAAGCGCTACTCAATTTCACAAGTGACTTGACTGAGTCGTTATTTATCGTGTTTATTTGTGCTTAAATTTCGAGAATAGGTTATGTCAATAAAATAATTCATATTAGATTTATCACTTATCATTATTTCTTAATTTAAAAATAGTAGTCGAGTTCTTGTATCATATTTCGCGTTTGCATTTTTCATAATAGTGGAGATTAATATTTTTTTTTTTGTTTTTACCATTATTTTAAAACTCCCTAATTGGTCAGGATTAGGTGTGGGGCCCTTAATAGAATATTTATAAAAAGTCAAGTTAGGAGGGGGAGTATAAAATTGACCTCCAATTTTGACTACAAAACATTCACCAATTTCAAGCCAGCCTAATTTAAAAAGCTATTTAATGTTATTAATAACAAAAAGATAATAAAAGAAATTAAAGAAAATAAGAAACATTAAAGTTTTACTATTTTGGCCATAATTTATATTGTCTTCAAGAGATTTTGTCATTATGTCAAGCCGAAGAAGATAATCGAAGTAGTAAAAATCAATTCATTTTCACTTCAATAATACGACTATACTTTTATAAACTCGCGTTTGAATATGTTTATAAGTAACTTTTTAACTATGAGACGGGACAAATTTATATACCTATTGCCTTCAGAAGCTCCAAACATACAGGTTAGATTTGTCATTTCGTAAAGAAATTAACAAAAATTGTAATTTTATGATAAATATAATACTGTATAATATGAACACACAGAATATGATTATTTGTTTATTAAGATTTCGTATTTGGAAATCTCTAGATCTATTTTTATTTTTATTTAATGAAATATTATTACGTTAGTTTTCATTTTTGAATACTCGAAGATTCGTAATGAGTAATCTTTTTCGTTAAAACGTCTTCCTTACAATTCTATCCTAATATTCTGCTAAATGGATCATTCTTATCAACTACAAAATATATTCATAATTTTGGGGTGGGACTCTACCAAACCCTTGTTTCCATTATTGAAAAGTTCAAAGAGATTCTCATTCTCATATCTGTATCTATCTCTATGTCAAAAATATCATTCTATATTTTAACTTGTTTGGAGGTGGACTCTCTCTCTCTCTCTCTCTCTCTCTCTCTCTTGATGAAAAGTTTATGTTGACTTGACTAGGAGGGTGCAATTTGGACTTCTGTTCAACAGAAGGCAATAATTAAATAATATTATATATAATAATTGACTAAGTTAATTGTAGGTAGCTCTTCTTTAATCTTAATTTTCTAATTTATTTCAATGTACCAAACTTTCTTTTAAGTTATATAAACTAGGAACTATAACTTTATTTTAATCCAATATGCATAGTGCGAGCGACAAATTTCTACCCTGCAAGGATTTGGCGACGGATAGATCGGTATTTTGAGAAATCAATAGAAGCTCATGCTTGAGAAGATCGTTTATCGTCAAGCGTAAATTAGTAGTGAAGTGATGGGATGTTTACAATTTATTAACGATTTTGTGACTTGTACATAAGAAATTATAATTGAGTACATAATATGGTGTGGTAGTGCATATATGAATTTTTCAGCAAAAAAATGATTTCAATTTTAAAAATAATTAATTTTATGCATCAAATTCTTAATTATTTTTTGCTTTATGGGCGAAGACTATATAGATAAGCTCCATTAGACAAAATGATGGGCCTAAGGGAAATTTAAGAGCAATGTGTTCATAAAAAAATTCTAATTAATTTGCATCATATTTTGACTGTTATTTTGTTTCTTATAATTTATCGCAAAAGAGAAAACTATTAAAAAAAATCTTAATTATGCAATAAACTTCACTTTCTCGTAGCATTTGACAAAATTTAAATTTAATTCTAGTACATATTCTAGTAATATTTTTATTTTGGTTGGTTCAAGTTTTCATGAACTATATGTTTTCCACACTGTGGTTTAATAAAAAGTACATATTCGGTCGGTCGACTTCGCTAAAAAAAATCTACTACAAGAATGTTAGTTCAATGTGACACTAAGTATAAAGTTTAATGGTCTGATGAAACAAAATCAAATTGGGTAGCTAATATTACGCTAAGTATGAAATTTAATGGTCATTGCGAAACAAAATCAAATTGGGCGATCAAAGCGACATTGTGGATGAAGTTGGGTGGTCATTGATGAATTTAATCCTAGCTCAAACTATACAAGGTACATGTATGTCACAAGGGTTTTATGATGGTAGAGACCTTGAGTATTGTGACTGAGAAACTTTTAAAAATCGAGTCTAATTTACTACTAGGACAATAAAATAAGAACTATAAGGGTGCGTTTGATTGCAAGGGTGGAAAATGGGTGGAAAGAAAATGTTTTACAGGGAAAAGATTTGCCTAAAAAATGTTTTGTAGGGAAAATGATTTCAAGTGTGTTTGATTGGTATAATTTTCCACCTAGAAAATTTTTAAATTTTTTATTCGTTTGGCTTTGTTTTATATGGAAATTGTCCATTAAAGTGATATTTTTTTCCACAATTAATTATAAAATTTGTTTCTATTGCGAAAAAGTTAAAAAAAAACGAAAAAAAAAATTTATTTCCTAAAAAATCATTTTTTCATCAAAGTTTAGTGTTCGTTTGGCCTTCGTTTGCATCAAAATTGTCCATGAAAGTGAAAATTTTTTTTACACTTCATTATCAAATTTCTTTCCATTGCTAAAAAAAAAAAAAGACAGCAGACCAGAAAAAACTTTTCCCACCTAAAACTTGAAAAAACATTTTCCTTCCACTCCTAGAAAGAGGCACGTCTGTGGAAAATCAAAGGCACAATTTCCATGGAAAAAGTTGGCCATCAAACAACACAATTTCAAGAAAAATGGAACTTCTTTTCATTTTCCATGGCAAATGGGTGTTATCAAACACATCCTAAGTGCAAATTCTCCAACATTTAAAAGTTGATTTTTTTTTTCCAGTCAATTGACAGGTGCGAATCTCTACATGGTTTACGTATATTGAAACTACACTTGTCGAACTCGAAGTTCGAAAATTTAATTACGATGTATAGTTATGACTAGAGCTGTCATTGTATTAGATTTTGATTCGAATCCGATAAAATTAATGGGAGATGAATTTAGGGTCTCAATCTGATAATCCGATCAAGATTCGAATCTAATAATTCATTAATTAAATCGAGCAAATATGGATAATATAATATATTTTTATATATCATCGCATAATTTTTCTCATTTTTAAACTTATATTATACTTTATGACTTTTAATGAAGAAAATCAAACCTATCAAAATCCTAAATAATATTAATATATATCAGAATAAATTTTGTATTGAGATTGAGAATCCCCTATTTCTAAAATATTTCAAATTGGATTGGATATCCGACAACATATCAAATCGGATATAGGTTTAACAATCAAATATTCGTTGGATTACCGATTTATATTCAATCCATTGATAGCCCTCGATATGACCCATCGACTTCAATTCCTACTAATCAGAAGCTGTTTATTCAGTGGTGAATTATTATTACTGAAATTTTACAATCATGGTCCTCAATCTTTATAAAAGATAGAACTTAGATCCCTATTTAATTTTTCGAGGCACATAGAACCTTAACATTTCGTAAATAGGCACATAGGTTCCCATTTGGATACGAGCATGACTTAATTGGCTCATGTTTTTGAATTTTTTACAAATACCCAAGTCACTTTTTATCTACAAATATCGAATGATCCACAAATAGTACTCATTTATTTATCACTTATTTCTGTGTATTTATAATCTTAACTATATATATTTATTTCTTAAATAATGCGATTAATTTTAGACTATTACCTCTGTGGAATGTCATTTTCGACTAAATTAATAACAAGAAAAAGGTTCTCTTTTATATTTAGTCAACTTAATATGAATGGCTGTAAATGTAGAAACCCTCGACGGTTTCCTACCAGTATTGAACTAAAAATTCAGCTAAATACACAATGCGTGACATGATAGGGACCAAAAGTTTTAAGTGATCCCTTTTCAATTCACATTATAATAAATGTATGCTGCCCATGACATATCTTCAAGTGATAAAAAGTGAAGGTGGAAAAACTCCAACTTTACTTGAGGCTGCATCGTCAAGGGTTCAAATCCTGAAATATGAATTTGGCCATTGGGTAAGTGTAAGTGTACAAACTGTCTTCCGCTCTGTACTCTTAGAGGCATAACCTGCAATTTACCTTCTTCACCAAGGTCCAGGACAAGGCAGGTGGGGGCCGTCAAGGATGCGACTCATCTTTTTTTTTTTTAATAATAAATGTATGCTAAGTTAGATAACTATTGAATAT